AGCGAATTCGGTTGAAAAACGTGCTCAAAAACCTCAAAATAGCGAAAATTGGGGGTACCCTTATATGGGGGCTACCAGAAAAATTGAACCTATATTTATTATTTTTGGTGGAGATATTTGGAACCCAATAAGAACCAAATGTACCAAATTTCAGCGAATTCAGTTGAAAAACGCGCTCAAGAACCCCAAAATACCGACATTTGGGGGGTACCCTTATATGGGGGCTACCAGAAAAATTGGACCTATATTTATAATTTTTGGTGGATATATTTGGAACCCAATAAGAACCAAATGTACCAAATTTCAGCGAATTCGGATGAAACGCTCCCAAGAACCCCAAAATACCGACATTTGGGGGGTACCCTTATATGGGGCCAACCAGAAAATTTTGGTGGAGATATTTTAATTTTTGGTGGAGATATTTTGAACCCAATAAGAACCAAATGTGCCTGCCTGCAGACAAAAGACGACTCTATGCAAAATTTTGGCGCTCTATCTCAATTCGTTTAGACGCTAGAGTGATTACAACAGACAGACAGACAGACAGACAAACAGACAGACGGACATGCTTAGATCGTCATAGAATTTTACGCTGATCAAGAATATATATACTTTATAGGGTCGGAAATGATTATTTCGATGCGTTACAAACGGAAAAACAAAACTAATATACCCTCCATACTATGGTGGAGGGTATAAAAAGGGGGTTAAATGGGGACTACCCCAAAAAGGGGCTGCATGTTAATAATTTTTTGTAGGGAAATTTTTTACCATATACGACTACAAAATACAAAATTTCAGCGAATTCGGTTGAAAAACGTGCTCAAGAACCTCAAAATAGCGAAAATTGGGGGTACCCTTATATGGGGGCTACCAGAAAAATTGGACCTATATTTATAATTTTTGGTGGATATATTTGGAACCCAATAAGAACCAAATGTACCAAATTTCAGCGAATTCGGATGAAAAACGCTCCCAAGAACCCCAAAATACCGACATTTGGGGGGTACCCTTATATGGGGCCAACCAGAAAATTTTGGTGGAGATATTTTAATTTTTGGTGGAGATATTTTGAACCCAATAAGAACCAAATGTGCCTGCCTGCAGACAAAAGACGACTCTATGCAAAATTTTGGCGCTCTATCTCAATTCGTTTAGACGCTAGAGTGATTACAACAGACAGACAGACAGACAGACAAACAGACAGACGGACATGCTTAGATCGTCATAGAATTTTACGCTGATCAAGAATATATATACTTTATAGGGTCGGAAATGATTATTTCGATGCGTTACAAACGGAAAAACAAAACTAATATACCCTCCATACTATGGTGGAGGGTATAAAAAGGGGGTTAAATGGGGACTACCCCAAAAAGGGGCTGCATGTTAATAATTTTTTGTAGGGAAATTTTTTATCATATACGACTACAAAATACAAAATTTCAGCGAATTCGGTTGAAAAACGTGCTCAAGAACCTCAAAATAGCGAAAATTGGGGGTACCCTTATATGGGGGCTGGCTACCAGAAAAATTGAACCTATATTTATAATTTTTGGTTGAGATATTTTGAACCCAATAAGAACCAAATGTGCCAAATTTCAGCGAATTCGCTTGAAAAACTCGCTCAAGAACCCCAAAATACCGGCATTTGGCGGTACCCTTATATGGGGACTACCAGAAAAAAAGGACCTATGTTTATAATTTTTAGTGGGGAGATTTGCTACCCAATAAGAACTTAAAGTACTAAATTACAGCCAATTCGGTTGAAAATTGCGATCAAAACCCCCAAAATACTGAAAATTAGAGGGTACCGTTATATGGGAGCTACCAGAAAAAATTGACCTATATGAATAATTTTTTGTGGAGAAATTGGGAACCCAATAGCAACTCAATATACCAAATTTCAGCGAATTCGGTTGAAAAATTCCCTCAAGAACCCCAAAATACGGAAAATTGGGGGTACCCTTATATGGGAGCTATGCCTAAACGTGGACCGATATATCCCATCTTCGAACTTGACCTGCCTGCAGACAAAAGACGACTCTATGCAAAATTTTGGCGCTCTATCTCAATTCGTTTAGACGCTAGAGTGATTACAACAGACAGACGGACAGACGGACATGCTTAGATCGTCATAGAATTTTACGCTGATCAAGAATATATATACTTTATAGGGTCGGAAATGATTATTTCGATGCGTTACAAACGGAAAAACAAAACTAATATACCCTCCATACTATGGTGGAGGGTATAAAAATTAGACGATGAAATCATATGAAAAAATATTTTTAAAAATCCACGCCTATATATGAACCATAAAAAAATATTTCTAAACCAGTACTAAACCAGACTATATGATACCCTTTACAACTATGAATACATATAAGAGATGATAATATATACAATATCCTGTAGAGAGAGGACCATTGAAATGGAATGGGGTGAAACTAAATGTGTGATCTACATAGATATTTGAACCAATTAAAAACTCATGAAATTTATTGAATCTGAAATTGTATTTCAATCGCACTCATTTGTGTACCATTTGTATGAAATAGAGCAAAATAATGTATTTGGAGCTATATGCAAATCTGGACCTAATTGAACAACCGTGGCATATACCGTTCGGTATGCTGCAGCACAGAGCGCTGTACACAATTTTATCTCGTGTATCATATAATCGGATAAACTATATATGGGAGAAATATATCTAAAACTGAATCGATTTCATCAAAACTTCACGTACATCAAACTGGACCTAATTCAGTATGCTAGGCAAAATTTTGTCTCAATCTGAAAAATATAGGAAGTTTGGTGCACCATTTACATAAAATCGGACGAAACTACATATGGGAGCTACATCTAAATCTGAACCGATTTTCACGAAACTTAGCACACATCACTCCAGACTTAATTCCGTACGCTGTGCTAAAATTCGTGCATATCGAAGGATATATAGAGACTTTGGTGCACCATTTACATAAAATCGGACGAAACTATATATGGGCGCAATATCTAAATCTGAACCGAATTTCACGAAACTTAACACACATCATTCTAGACTTAATTCAGTACGCTGTACCAAATTTCGTGCAAATCTAGAGGTATATAGGTACTTTGGTGCACCATTTACCTTAAATCGGACGAAAATATACATGGAAGCTATATCTAAATCTGAACCGATCTTCATAAAATTTAAAACACATCTTTCTAGACTTAATTTAGTACGCAATGACAAATTGCGGACAAAAAGAATGGTATATAGGTACTTTGGTGCACCATTTACCTTAAATCGGACGAAAATATACATGGGAGCTATATCTAAATCTGAATCGATTTTTCCCAATTTCAATAGGGTTCGTCCTTGGGCTAAATAAAAGACCAATGCCAAATTTCATCCAATTCGAATCATAAATGAACAGACAGACAGACGGACGGACGGACATGCATAAATCGACTCAGGAAGTTATTCTATGCATATTCTCAAAAGGAACCATGTATCTATCACGTTTCCTTTTGCCTGTTACAAACATATGCTCAAAGACTTAATATCCTGTACCACAGTGCGGAGAAGGGTATAAAAATCCACGTCTATATGTGGACCATGAAAAAATATTTTTAAGAAATCCAAATCTACACATATTTTCGAAGAATTCAAATGTAAAATTTTGATTTTAAGAAGAAATTACACGACGTTGGGCGCCGTTTCTTCTAGACCTAATAATTACATTTATTCCAATAAAAATACTCACTTAAAAACTTCATCCGCATTCTTTTCGTTTAATAGTTCCATAACAGTTGGCACACCCTCAATATGATTGCATACCGTATAGATAGGAGTATTTTCAAGACCGCTCTCCACTAAACATTGGCGTATTTTGTCATAGACAACACCATCACAGAACATGACTTTGGGTTTGGTCACCTTATAGACATGGGCGAGACCGGCAACAGTAGTACTTGGATGTGTACTACTTAGGCAAAGGCCAGAAAATATGGTGCCAAAGAATACCGGTGCTACGTAATTACAATTGCCCGAACAAACACCAACAACATCAGTTTGTTGTAAATTTAATTTGCCGAAATTAATTGCCACACTGCAGGACAGTTCGGCCATTTGTTTGTTGGTAAATTCCTTGCCACTTTGGTGGCAGAACTGAACATAAAAAAATCACTTTATTAGGAATGGTTACGAATTCGATTTGATTTTCTTTTTTACCTGTACTACATGATCAGGATACTGATGCATTGCGTCTAATACAACCAATTGAATCTTCTAAGGTGTAACGTGATTCTGATATTGGTCCTCGCCAGAGGACCAATATTGCACAACGTACAAAATTGAGCTAGAATTACGTAGTTGCGTTTTCTAGAAGTACAGACATAGCCCAACGGATGACCTATTTATATTTGTTTGAAGTCGATTTACATACTTTATGAATAGATCTAGGTAGATTCACATTTAGATATATATCCCCTATTTTATTTCATCCAATTTCATGTTAATAGTCCTGTTTAATATACCCATAGTGGTGAAGGGTATCATATAGTCGGCCCCGTCCGACTTTATTACTTTCCTTACTGGTTTTCAATTGGATTTACAGTGTATGAAAACTATTTTATGTGAGAATACAAATAAATAATAAAATAAAATGCAATAAATAATAATAATAAATAATTGAGAAGTATATCATTGAATATACACGTGATCATGTTGTCCATAAAATGCACGTAAACCGCAAGGATGAAAATCTGGAGACATTCAGAATTGAGTTCTGATTCTAAGATCCATGACTAAGATTATTTTTCTTGAAGATACTAATAATACTAGTTCCATAAAAATAATATTCAGAACCCGCCACATTGGGTTTTACTTCATTCAATGCTATTGCACTTATTAGAGTATTCGTTAGCCATAAATAGTTTAAAGATTTTAATTTTATTTTTAAATTCAGTTTTTATTTTAATATTTTAGATATTATTACATTACTCCACTTCTAAGATTTCTGTACAGTCCAGTATTCCGGATCCATAAGAAGTGATCTGCAAATTAAAAATGTAAAGAATATCAGTCAAGGATAACACAACACACAGATTACCAAACTTACTTAATTTCCAAAATTTTATTTCTAAATTCGGAACTTAACTCAGCCATGGTAGCAGCATTGCCACCATATTCCTTTGGTAAAATTTCACGTGGTATACTTTCATAGAGACTCTCCAGCCCGTTGGTGTGACATTTAATCTAGTAAAATATGAGTTATCTTCTGAATATTTACCGATTTTAAAAGACTCCAAATATTCTCACTTACCATCTCGTATAATTCCTTGCTCATAAATGGTCTTAAAAAGCCCAAAATTTTATTTATATACGATGGACAATTAATCATATGTACCGCTTGCATACGATTCGGATAGGCCTGATAGAGATATTTGAAGAAAACACTCAAGGTACCCATAGACAATGCGGCTACATGTTTCATGGTAATGCCCTCCATATCGATGATAATAATTTCACCCTTGGAAAGTTGCCCATTGTTATTTTCCAATATCACATCCGGTTGCAGAAAATGACAATCACCAATCATTACATAGGTTTTTATGTCTTCCGTGAAATGTATCTGAAAATATAAAAATTTGGTCGACACTTTTAAATATAGTTGGACTTTGTGGTACAGGGTAAATGAGATTATCGGTGAATTTGTCCACAAATAATGGCGATCCAAAAATAATTCAATTAAAATAATCTCACCATTTTAGTGTCCAAGTTATGAAAGTGTATACAGGTGATGTGATAACTTTCGGGTGTCAATTGGCTCAGTGGAGCAATGTGCCTGTTAAAAAAAAACAAATCAAAATTATTTGTTTACATATATGATATATTACAACCCTTATATACATACAAATATTTATACATATTATCAGTATCGACATCACTTGGATCCCGTTTGATGAAAATCTTTGGATTTTTAAGCCGCAAGGTATAATAGAGTTCCAGTAATTTTTTAGTTTCCTCTATGTCTTTTGATGATCGTTGATAAAGACGCCATAGTAAGGTGCGATCTGAAAATGATTTCGATAGTTTAGTAAGTTGTTTTGCGGTATCAATACCCGATAAGGATGATGTTTGATATTACTTTAATGTCGTATATATCCATGCCTATAAATGGAAAATGGAAAAAAATATATATGGGCAATATTGTCAATTTTTTAATATTCCATTTTCAAAAAATCAGCTTTTTTGTTTTTGTGGCACATCAATGATTTTTGGTACACATATAGAGAAAAATGTTCTGACTCCGAAACCGTTCGCGATCAAATTTTTGGTTGATGCGCGCAAAAGTTATCGAGGTTTTAATTTTGGGCATAAGAAAAAAATCTTAAAATTACGCCGTTTATTATATTGACCAAAAACGTTGATATATATATCTTCTTTCGTAAAATAAGAATATGAATATATTATAATAATCACGATAAAGTTGCACATATTCGCGAAATATGAGAAAAATAAAAAAAATATAGCAGATTACATCAATATTTTCATTATATTAATGACATACACACACCTAAAAATTAATTTAAAAATATCTACATAATCTAAACACCATGGTGAATCAAATGATATCAAAATCACACAAGTCCGTGTAGCGGTTTCTAAATCAAACCGACAACAAAACAAGATATTATATCAAGACCCTTCCGATAAATCTTAGAATTCTATAAATAGGAATAAATCTTAAAATAAATAATATTATGAAATATACATTTTAAATTGCGTGTAAATCGCGTAATTCTCAAAATCATTTGATGCGCATGCGGTTTCCAGGCAGTACTGAAGTTTATCTTCCAATCCATATATATTTTGCGAAATTACATTTGACGGCTAAGATGTGCCGCACGTTACATTGAAGTACCCAAAAAATCGTAAAACGCGAATAATTTCCGAAAACTCCATATGCCATTAACGCGCATCCGATTTCGGTGTGTACCCTAAAAAATACATCGATCTATACCGATTTCAATGTGGTCCATTAAGACCATGGATGTGCCAGCTCACACTATTTTTGAGATAAATTGCGTCTAAATCGCGTAATTCTCAAAATCATTTGATGCGCATGCGGTTTCCAGGCAGTACTGAAGTTTATCTTCCAATCCATATATATTTTGTGAACTTTCATTTGACGGCTAAGATGTGCCGCACGTTACATTGAAGTACCCAAAAAAACGTAAAACGCGAATAATTTCCGAAAACTCCGTATACCATTAACGCGCATCCGATTTCGGTGTGCACCTTAAAAAAGTACATCGATCTATACCGATTTCAATGTGGTCCATTAAGAACCATGGATGTGCCAGCTCACACTATTTTTGAGATAAATTGGGTACATCTCTCTTTCGGCTGAAGTTTTTAAAGTTCTCTTTTTGAAAAAGATCAAAATCCGTAAGAGGTCATCTGTTGAAGCGGAAGTGATCCACAGAAAACGCAAATAAATCCGCGATATTTTCAAAAACATTTTTTGCGAAATTTCATGTTTTTGGAAGGTCAGTTCCCGCCGTTCTAGTAGATGGATTTTCACGAAAAAGATTTTATATCATCCGAAACGTAAAAAACCTTATTGATCGCGGGTACCCATATCATTCAGTTGACAGATCTAAAAATTTGGCCCGAAAAATAGGTTTTTTAGAAATTTGATCGCACAAAATTCGCACCTTCGGATGAGTATTACTCTGAAGCTGTGCATACTACATACACAAAATACAAATCAAATTACGCAGATTCGCGACTACAATAATCTTATAATCGATTTTTAGAAATTCCTGTTAGCGTATTAAAGCTAGAAGTAAAATTAAAAAAAACACTCAAAATCGAGCTTCAAAATGTCAGCATCATTTAAAGGTAGATGCAGTTAAAATTTTGAAAAATGATACATAAGGGGCGTAGTCCCCATTTTGTTGGCTTCTAGTTTTACTTTGACACGAAGACCGTGAAATGAGTGGCTTAATCACAAATCGATAGAGAACATATAAAAACTGGTTCGCCTCAACCTGTTTTTACACATTTTTTACATTAAAGTAGACACAGCTTCCACCAAAATAAAGTTTGGAGGTCCATATCATGAACAGTTTGCAACGACAGATCAATTAACCCAAAACTATTCACTTTTTTTCATATGCTTAAGTAATACCCGAGTTATAAAGGGGTGAACCTCCGCTTCAGCTATGTTAAAAAATTGGCAATATTGCCCATATATGGTCGATAAAAATTATTTTTAAAAAATCCACACCTATAATTGGACTATGAAAAATTATTTTTAAAAAATCCACGCCTATAATTGGACTATGAAAAATTATTATTAAAAAATCCACGCCTATATAAAAAATAAAACGATAACGATAAAAAATATTTTTATTTTTTTAGGTAAGCCAGCTTAATCCCCTTTTTGTTGTTTTAAAAGATAAAAACAACAAGATTTTTATTTTTAAAGTGGGTTATTGTCACATTGATTACTTTCGGGAAAGGCAGAGAAGACTATAGTTACGGATTTCGCCACAAATCCTCATAAGTTCTCTTAGTTATACCCTTCACCACATTGTGGTACAGGGTATTATGTCTTTGTGCATATGTTCGTAACAGGCAAAAGGAAACGAGGTTTCCTTTTGCGAATATGCATAGAATCACTATCTGAAACGATTTATGCATGTCCGGCTGTCCGTCCGTCTGTCCATGTTAAATTGTAAAAAAGGACATATCGCATTTAGTTCCAAATTGAATGTAATTTGGCACAGCTCATTTGTTTGGCCCAAGGACGAACCCTATTGAAATTGGGAAAAATCGATTCAGATATAGATGTAGCTTCCATATATATTTTCGTCCGAGTTAATGTAAATTGTGTACCAAAGTCCCTATATATCTTTCGATATGCACGAAATTTGGCATAGCGAACTGAATTAAGTCTAGAATGATGAGTGTTAAGTTTCTTGAAAATCGGTTCAGATTTTGATATAGCTCCCATATATATTTTCGACCGATTTAATGTAAATAGTTCACCAGAGTCCCTCCACGTACTGTATTGAGTCTAGAATGATGTGTGTAAAATGTCTTGAACCTCGGTTCAGATTTAGATATGGCTTCCATATTTATTTTCTTTCGATTTTATGTAAATAGTAAACCAAACTCCTCACGTTTCTAGTATTGACTTGAAATTTTGAATTTACATATATGTAAAATATACCCAAAGTGGTGAAGGGTATCATATAGTCGGCCCAGCCCGACTTTACTACTTTCCTTACTGGCTGTTTTGTACCTTTTATATTTATTCTCTATTAAGATCTGTTAACATTAGCAAGATCACAGATAAGCTACATAATTGCAGTCACAAATATATATCAGTGACCTACATACACTTAATGCACTTTTTTATAAAAAAAAATAATGGGTTGTGATCTTGGCTAAATGTTGATAATGTTATGTATCTTAGTATGCCCAACAATCTAATGATAAGCGTATTGTAGGTTATTTGTTGCCAGACGACTAGCAACATTATCAATGTTAAACAAAGATTACAGCACTAAGAGAATGTAACTCACATCCAATCAGACACACACTACTCGTTTACAGCTACTCGCATCGAAAGGCCTTTCGTCGGAGGAACAAGCAAGATTATAAACTGTAAGTGATAACATTGCGATTAATTTAACATTTCATATTGATGGTTAATGTGAGTAAAATTATTACTTATTTTTGTTTGCTTTGTATTGTATCTTCTGTATGTACCGTACATTAGGGTGGGTATTAGTTTCGTATATATTTCAAGAATCTATTCCTTACCATTTTCTACATTTATAATTATTATTACGAATTACAATTATTATCAGTAAGACCACAGGATAAATTGGCATATATGTCATTATTTTTATCTTTGCTATTTATGTGGATTTTGATAGATGATATTTAAATTTAGTTATATAAGGATAATGGCAGAATAAGGACAATGGTAGAATTATTTTATAATAAATTTATGATGTTTGATTCTGAGTAAATTCGCTTTAGTTTGATTCCATAGCAAGGTAGGGTAGGAAGGTTACATCAACATTGGGGAATCACAGAGACAGATTTTATTACCGCATAGAAAAGTTCTGTGATCAGGAGGGAAGGCAAATGGACGGAAACGCCAAAAAGTCCATTCTAACTATGACACCGTGTGATGTAAAATTTCAAATTATCTATATTCTATCTCTTCCTCCTTCTATTGAACACGAATATTAAAATAGTTTAGTTTGTAGCTGAAGTGAAGGCATTGAAGTTCCGAACCCATCCCATTACGACGAGTGATAAGGCCGGTGGTTAACTTGCTCTGACTATAACAAAAATGCCTGCAAGACCTACTTCATAATAAAATATACGTTGTATGCTACATCATATAGTCGGCCCGTCCGACTACTTTCCTTACTGGTTTGTCTCTCAGGATGTGTTTTGCAAAAAGATATTATTGAGCTGACATGACATGCAAAAAATAACCTGCAAACAATGTTATATAAAGCTTTCGCAATTTGCTATTTCACGTCAAAAATGCGCTAGTATGAAAATAAATAATAATTTTGCATTTTGGTCTGATGATGGGACATTGGTGCATTTTTATACCCGAAGGCCCATCTGTGATCCAAATAAGTTTCTATGCCGATTTATGTATGTCCGTATCTCTGTTAAAATCACTAGAGAGCTCGCAATATTTAATATAGAGCTTTGAAATTTTGCGCATACATTGTTATTATCCTACGATGTTTGGTGTTATTATCCTACGATGTATAGTCCCCATATAAAGGTGACCACTAATATTCGGTATTTTGAGGATTTTTGGAACGATTTTCAACCGAATTCACTGGTATTTTGAGTACAAATTGGGTAGAGCTAGTGAAGATATCCAAATCCAATTTGTGGCCAAAGTAGAAAGACTATATTTAATATTTTAATACTACGTTATAGGTTTTGTATATATCTAACTATTTTTATTGTTTTCTATTTTAAAAAGTTTATAAATTCGATTTAAAAAGGAAATCAGGAAATCAATTAATGGTGAGAGCATTTTCGTGTATATTCATTCATATGTCTATGGTAAAGCTTTCTACCGAAAATTATCACGGTACAGTTCAAAATTCTACAAACATGATACGATTTTTATACCCTTCACCACTCTGTGGTACAGGGTATTATGTCTTTGTGCATATGTTTGTAACAGGCAAAAGGAAACGAGATAGTCACATGGTTCCTTTTGAGAATATGCATAGAATCACTTTCTATGTCGATTTATGCATGTCCGTCCGTCGGTCCGTCCGTCTGTCCGTCTGTCTGTCCATGTTAAATTGTAAACAAAGTACAGGTCGCATTTATAATCCGAATTGGATGAAATTTGGCATAGGTCACTTATTTGGCCCAAGGACGAACACTATTGAATTTGGGAAAAATCGGTTCAGATTTAGATATAGCTCCCATATATATTTTCGTCCGATTTAAGGTAAATGGGGCACCAAAGTTTCCTAATATCTTTCGATTGCACGGAATTTGGCATAGTGTACTGCATGAAATCTAGAATGATGTATGGTAAGTTTCAGGAAAATCGTTTCAGCTTTGGATATAGCTCCCATATATATTTTCGTCCGATTTTATGTAAATAGTGCACCAAAGTCCCTATATATCTTTCGATATGCACAAAATTTAGCACATCGTACGCAATTAAGTCTAGATTGATGTGTGCTAAGTTTCGTGAAAATCGGTTCAGATTTAGATATAGCTCCATATATAGTTTCGTCCGATTTTATGTAAATGGTGTACCAACGTCCCTATATATCTTTCAATTTACACGAAATTTGGCATAGCGTCTATAATAATGTGTGTAGATTTGCACGAAACTTGGCATAGAGTACTGAATTAGGTCCACAATGATGTGTGGTAAGTTTCATGAAAATCGGTCGATAGTTAGATATAGCTCCCATATATATTTTCGTCCGATTTAATGTAAATGGTGTACCAAAGTCCCTATACATCTTTCGATTTGCACGAAATTTGGCACAGCGTACTGAATTAGGTCAAGAAAGATGTGTGTTAAGTTTCCTATAAATCGGCCCAGATTTAGATATAGCTCCCATATATATTTTCGTCCGATTTAATATAAATGGTGTACCAAAGTCCCTATACATCTTTCGATTTGCACGAAATTTGGCACAGCGTACTGAATTAGGTCAAGAAAGATGTGTGTTAAGTTTTCTATAAATCGGTCCAGATTTAGATATACCTCCCATATATATTTTCGTCCGATTTAATGAAAATGGTGTACCAGAGTCCCTATATATCTTTCGATTTTCACGAAATTTGGCACAGCTTAATGAATTAGGTCTAGAATGAAGTGTGTTAAGTTTGCTGAAAATCGGTCCAGATTTAGATATACCTCCCACATATATTTTCGTCCGATTTCATGTAAATGTTGTACCACAGTCCCTATATATCTTTCGATTTGCACGAAATTTGGTATAGCGTAGTGAATTAGGTCTAGAATGGTGTGTGTTAGGTGTCGTGAAAATCGGTTCTGATTTAGATATAGCTCCAATTTGGTACAATGAACTGTAGTTTAAATAAGTTCATCTCTGACAAATCTCATTGAAATCGCTTCACGTTATATATATATATATATATACTATATCTATAGCAACTCTATATCTGACCAAATGAAAAATTTAGTATAGGTTGCAGAATTACATGTTTATGGATCCGTTTTCGTGTTTATGGTCCTTCAACGTCTGTTACTGGTTTTAAATTGGGTATTTAACGAAAGTTCGTTTTATTGATTAATAAGTTTATTTAAGTAAATATATATTTGATATAACCTCTAAAATATTTTCCATGACATATCTTTTTATTCCGAAAACGAGTCTAATTTTTTCCACAGTGCTATTTAATAATGTCATCTACATTATTAGATTCAATCAAATTGGTTTAATACTTATCGTTATCTAAACTACTACTTATCAGTTATCGTTTGGTCTATAGACATTTCATTTGGCCACTAAAAGTAAACATGACCTTATACAATTCAGAAAATCGCAAACATTTTCTCTGCAATTATTAAATTGTGTACAATTTTTATTCGTGTGCACGATCTTGAAATATTCGCAGTGTATATACATATTTTCGGGTCGTTGTAATCACGAAACACATCGGAACATTTTTGCGTATCCATTGCTCCTACTCATGGGATGTTTGGTATTGAAAATCGTATATATCAGTCCACATTTCTGTATTGTTTTTGTTTTATGCGTATTGTCCCTCCGAAGACCATTTTGTAGACATCTACGTTTTTGTATAGCCTTTTTCTGTAGTTTGCCGGGTGTCCAATCCATTTTTTTTTTTCTAAACACTGTTTTGCTTTTACTTACCAATTTTATTTGGCAATTTTTTATTTTCTTCAAACCATTGCTGGAGACCATCTACGGCCTTTTCTTCTTCAGCATTTCCATAGATAAACATTTTATTTAGTTTTTGTTTTTTTATAAATATTAATAAAAATAAGTGACTTTATTATTTTATTTGAATTAATTGTTTCCTATAACACATTACGATTTGTATTCAATAATTAAACTAAAATGGGTTTTTGTTTTGGCGGATTTGCAGACATGAATTATTTTTTTGGTATTATCGATATTTGTGAAAGTTATTAGCCACCAGTTGTGTGATAAGTGCCAACCTAAGAGGATGATAGCCAAAATTTGGAGTGGATCATAAATTACACTAAAGCAGCACAGTGTTTTAAAAGTAAATAAAATAAAAAAATATGGTTTTTAAACATTTAAAAACATTTTATTTACCATTTTAAAAAGTTAAGATAAAAATACAGGGAGCCTATTTAGATTCATCCGTAATTTTCCAGTAATTTGGATCGATAAGATAGTTCCTGTAAAAAAACGAAAAAAAAAAATTAATTAATAGATGTGTATAAAATAGAAAAGATGCCAATAAAATAGCAGACCTTAAAGATCTCGAACATTCGATTTTTAGCAGGATTTTCTGTGATTACAAATCTTAGATTACATAGGTTATATATATTAAGCGTAGATTTCAGATTAGATTCATACACTAACAGGCCTCCAAGTTTAATTTCTATACCCTCAACTTCAAGGTGGAGTGTGTATTAAATTTATCAATCCGTTTTCAACATCTAGAAATGGTTCCTTTTGAGAATTTGCATAGAATCCCTTTCTGAGTCGATTTATGCATGTCCGTCCGTCTATCCATGTTAAATTGTAAACAAAGTACAGGTCGCATTTATAATCCGAATTGGATGAAATTTGACACAGCTCTTTTGGATGGCCCAAGGACGAACCCTATTGAAATTGGGAAAAATTGGTTCAAATTTAGATATAGCTCCCATATATAGATTCGCCCGATTTAAGGTAAGTGGTGCACCAAAGTCCCTATATATCTTTCGATTTCTACGAAATTTGGTATAGCGTACTGAATTAAGTCTGGAATGATGTGTGCAAAGTTTCGTGAAAATCGGTTCAGATTTAGATATAGTTCCCATATATAGATACGCCCGATTTAAGGTAAATGGTGCACCAAAGTCCCTATATATCTTTCGATTTCCACGAAATTTGGCACAGCGTACTGAATAAAGTCTAGAATGGTGAGTGTGCATTAAAATTTGTTAATCCGTTTTCAACATCTAGAAATGGTTCCTTTTGAGAATATGCATAGAATCACTTTCTGAGTCGATTTATGTATGTCCGTCCGTCCGTCTATCCATGTTAGATTGTAAACAAAGTACAGGTCGCTTTTATGATCCTAATTGGATGAAATTTGACACACCTCATTTGTTTGACCCAAGGACAAACTCTATTGAAATTGGGAAAAATCGGTTTAAATTTAGATATAGCTCCCATATATAGATTCACCCGATTTAAGGTAAATGGTGTACCTAAGTCCATATATATCTTTCGATTTCCACGAAATTTGGCATAGCCTACTGAATTAAGTCTAGAATGATGTGTGCTAAGTTTCGTGAAAATCGGTTCAGATTTAGATATAGCTCCCATATATATCTTCGTCCGATTTAAGGTAAATGGTGCACCAAAGTCCCTATATATCTTTTGATTTCCACGAAATTTGGCATAGCGTACTGAATTAAGTCTAGAATGGTGTGTGTTAAGTTTCGTGAAAATTGGTTCAGATTTAGATATAGCTCTCATATATATCTTCGTCCGATTTAAGGTAAATGGTGTACCAAAGTCCATATATATCTTTCGATTTCCACGAAATTTGGCAGTTTCCCGGAAATCGGTTCAGATATAGATTTAGCATAGCTTCCACATATAATTTCGACCTCTTAATGTTAATTGTAAACCGAGTAATCAATGGATGTCTGATTGAATTGAATTGAACCGTGCAGCATACCAAATAATGTGTGTCATGTTTGCTTTAAATCGATTTGCAAAATTTAGCATAACTTGCAGAATGACATGTGTATGGATTGATAGTCGGTTTAGATATACATAAATATGACATATTTAAATCTGTTCAATTTCATGTGAATGTTCCTTCAAAAACGCGATGTCTGTTAGGATACATATGTAGAATATACCCAAAGTGGCGAAGGTTATCATATAGTCGGCCCAGTCCGACTTTACTACTTTTCTTACTGGTTTTTCTTTTTAGAAAAGCCCCCTATATAATGGTCCTCCCCGTTTTGGCTATGTGTTGCAACCGAATGTGCTATAATTTAGTATTTTGTGAATTTTCATGGAATAGCAAAAATTTCTACCAACAAATTATCAATATTAGCTCACTTTTGAATATAGTCCGCATATAACGGTACTCCCCATAATTAGGTATTTTGTTACGTTTTTTAAACGAATTGGCTATAACCTGTTTCTCATTGGGTGTCAAATCTCCCTACCCTCCATTTATGAAATATCATCTGATCATCATCGAAAATTATATGCATAGACCTTGACCATAATCTAAAACTCTTAAACAATTTCCTAGTCATCCGCGGTACATTTTCGCTCTCTAGTGTGGCAATGATAATATTAAATAATATAAGAATACATAGACATTTAAAGGTCAAGCATTCCTCTTGGATATAATATCAAATTCTAGGGTAAATGCCCTTCAGTAGTAAATATATACGACATAGCATGCAATTTTTTTAACTTTTTCCCACAAAAGTCGGGGTCCATTTGACCCGCTAAATATTGACCGATCTTCACCAAAACAGTCATGCTTATTCCATGGTTGTTTTTGTTAATGATCTTTTAGTTTTTAGGGGATGAAACGGACCGGAAATATTTTTAACTGTTTTTCTGGTCGCTTTAGAGGACACAATTATGATCCGAACATCGCGAAATTTCACACTTTCGTGATCATTATCAAAAACAATAGGGGTATTAATTGACCAAAACCAGTCCTACAACCAGTGACTTGGAGCCGCACAAATTAGTAAAATTAGTAGTCCTTATATATATATGGACTACTAATTTTTGAAATTGAATTTTTAATAATATTTCGGATTTCTAAGTTCACATGTCTTCAGAATATTTCTATGGATTAGATGACCTCTTAGCGGGAATTTGTTAGGTATATTTGGTATGGACTTTATATACAGTTAAACGCAGAAGTATGTATACATGTGTACACAAATATTTAGTGTTTAAAAGTAAAACTAAAAGTCCTAGTAAATGTTGTTATACCCTACACAACTATGTTGTCAGGGTATTATAGTTTTGTGCAGCCCCAAGAGTTTGTAACGCATTGGTCCTAGACCCACCTTTATACCGATCGTCATATCTCGACTAGCTGAGTCGATCTAGACATGTGTGTCCGTCTGTCCATTATAATTTGTAAACACGATACAGGCCACAGTTATGGACCAATCATTAAGAAATTTTGCATGTAGGATGGGTTTTGGTCAATGAAGACCCCTATTGTTTTTGGTAAAGATAGGTTACTATTTAGGGGATAAAATGGGCCAAATACCTGATTTTTCTTGGGTTTTCTGTTCGCTCCAGAGGCCGAAATTATGACCCAAACATCTCGAATTTTTACATGGAGAAGGATTCGGGCCAAAGAATACGCATGCTTGTTTTTATAAAGATCGGTCAATATTTAGCGGGTCAAATGGATACTGACTTTTGTGTGAAAAATGACAAAAATTGTATTCTATGGCGTATAGATTTACCCCTCAAGGACATGGACCCGAGAAGTTGATAGTATATCCAAGAGCAATGGTTGACCTATAAATTGATACCAATTATGTTGTCGTATGTACTCGGATGTGAGAGTTACACCTAAAAATTTACAAGTGCTTAAGTATTGAATTATTATTTAGTAACCCATTATCACACTAGAGGGCGAAAATATAGCGCTGATAACGGCAGGGTCAAGGACAACGCTTATAATTTTCGATGATGATCAGATAATAATATTGGGTTGAAGTTGACCGTAAACCTATTTTTGTTTTTTCGAGACGATCTATAGAATAGAACATAACAACACAACCCACGATCAAGGAAATCTGTTTAAGGGGACCCCCCATTCTCGAGGTCAAAAAATTTTTGATTTAATTCGAATCTACACTAATTCAAGAATGTCCCTACAAAATTTCAAGTGTAAATCTCAAGAACTCTTGAAAATATAGCCGATTTATTGTGTCAGCATCAAATGACGGCTAAAGGGATTCTCAAACTTTAAACGTGTTTTTCTCATTTGCGAATGGCGGGCACGATAACTCAAAAACTAATAACCTAATCGATTCCAAATTTTTACACGTTTCTCTGTGAGTGTATAGCTATCGTATGAACTAGGATAAAGCCAATCGGTGAAGTCTTCCGTATTTTTTAACTTGGTTTGTGGTAAAAAATCGGCGATTTTCCAAAAATCTTTTTTCAAAGGTCCGCCATTTTGTTAATTTTAGAGCGAAGTCAATAATCCTAGTTCATACGAGAGCCAGACATGTACTCTTTCTAACACCGTTGGAATTTTCGGAATCCGATGTTCCAGTGAGGAGTTATCATGCCCGCCAACAAAAATAAGGACTTCTCTTGAATTACAAAAAACAATAACAAAACAACAACAACAAATTTTGGTAAATTATTTTTCTTCCAAAGTACAGGTCGCATTCATGATTCGAATTGGATGAAATTAGGCACAGCTCAGCTTAAACCCTATTGAAATTGGGAAACATCAGGTCAGATTTAGATATAGCTCACATATAAATTTTCGTCCGATTTAAGGTAAATGGTGCACCAAAGTCCCTAAATATCTTTGGATTTGTAGGACAGCGTACTAAAATGATGTGTGCTAAGTTTCGTGAAAATTGGTTCATATTTAGATATAGCTCCCTTTTATTTATTTCCGATTTAAGACAAATGGTGCACCAACGTCCCTATGTATCTTTCGATTAGCACGAAATATAGCATAGCGCCACTGATTTGAGTCTGCAATGGCTCATGCTAAGTTTCGTGACAATCAGTTCAAATTTGGATATAGCTCCCATATATATATATATATATATTGGTCCCATTTTATGCAAATGGTGCACCAAAGTTCTTATATATCTTTCGTTAAATTTCATGTCAATGTTCTTTCGAAAAGGCGACGTCTGTTAGGAGGCTATGTAGAATATACCCAAAGTGTGAAGAGTATCATATAGTCAGCCCAGTCTAACTTTACTATTTCCTTACTGGTTTTTTTTACTAATAACTTTACCTTTTGCTTCGTAATGAATTTAACATCTCTTCGGATAAATCATCAATTGAACTTGAATTTCCACCATATTCCGATGGTAACATTTCCTTGGGTACAGATTCGAAGAGGTTTTCAATACTGCGGACATGGAATTGTATCTATTTAATAAAAAAAATGAAAAATACAAAATGAGTGATATTATTCAGTTTATCCCGATTTATAAAAATAACTCTATTTTGGTATACATTTCCACGAATATCTGATGGTTGTTTATTTTGTATTAATATTTTATTCTCACCTTATCTATCGTTTCCTTTTTCATAAATGGTTTCACCATAGCAAACATATTATTCACATATGCCGGACAATTTATCAAATGTATAGTTTTAAATTTGATCGGACAATATTTTTGCATATATCTCAGAAATACCAATAATGCCGGCAGTGAGAGATGGGTCATGTGTTTCATGGTAAATCCATCCATATCCACAATTTGTATTAAATTTTCCGCGAAATATGGAACATCATTGACGATCATATCGGCTTCGCAAAATGCACCATCATGGGCCATAATGAGACTTTTCATATCCTCGACAAAGTGGACCTAAAAGATAGAGGAGAGGAAAAAATTAGTAGAGAGAAATAAAAAAATTGCTTAGAGAGCTAAATAATCGATAAATGCGTGAGATGTTAATGTCACTTGGTTCCGTGTGTTAAATCTTGATACTAATAAAAAATTACCTTATTTGGATCGGCATTTTTTAATTTTATCAGCTTAACTTGATTTTTGTCCGGTGTTAGGCCAGGCAGGGTTACAAAATGTCTATAAAACACAAATTTCTCATTTCACAAAAATTTTCTGATCCTTCCCCTAAAAAATACTCACACAAATTCCGCCGTGTTTAAAGCATGTTGGCTATCGGGATCACGGGCAAAGAAAATATTTGGATTTTTCTTACGAATGGCATAGTGGCCAAGTAAAAGTTTTTTGGTCTCTTCGATATTTTTATCGGAGCGGTAATAGAAACGAGCCAGAAATATGCGATCTAAAAATTATTTGTAATAATATAAAAAAAATGTTTTACTTTTTAAATTATTTCCCCACCTATTTTCTCGGGTAAGTTTTCATTAGCCTCAAACCATTTTTGCAATAAATTCAAATCTGTTTCAATTTCTCGGTTTGCAAATATTTCCATGCTTTTGTTTTTATGTATTCTAAACGCACTTGATTTTTAGCTGAATGTTTTATTCGAACTGGGAGATTTTTTTGTTTTGATTGCAATGCCGACTGACCGGTTGTATAGCTGCGCGATTTTATTAGACCTTGTTTGCAGTCAACCCCATTCGTTGCAGTAGCAGCGATTACAAAGTCTTTGTTTAAGTCTGACGAAGATTATCGGTAATGCTAATCGCTTAGAGATTTCTTGCTACGGATAATTTTTTACAATCAATAAAAAATAAATAAAATCATTTTAAAAACATAAAAAAGTAAATTGTGTTCTTTGTTTCAACTGAGACACGAGGGAATTATAATACAAATGAAAAAAGCGTTATGTTCGGTGGGACCGAACTTTGGATACCCTCCACCATAAGTATACTGATAGTTATTTGAAATGAAAATATAGGGAACATACCAACAATTATACCTATACTATCAATTGTACACCAAATACAAATTTCAGCAATTTTTAATGGATATTATTCCTAAAATCGTAAAACCCCAAAACGGGGACCGATATTAACGACGCATGGTAGGATGGAACATGTGTATAAAATCTCCAAAATACTGCAATGTAGAAGGCCAAATTATATGTGGCCATCACCAACGCACACAGGATTTTATCTCGGGAGGTGGGGATGGAAGTTTCCTGTTCAATATGAAATCAATTTAGGACTGAAATAAGGGGGGGGGGGGGGCTACTCGAAAAAATTGACCTATATTTATATTTTTAGGGGAGAGATTTGCTAATAAAAACTCAAAGTGTTAAATTGCAACTACTTCGGTAGAAAATCGCGCTCAAAACCCATAAAATATTGAAAATTGGGTACCGTTATTTGGGTGTATCAAAAATTGGATCTAAAGTTTTAATGGAGAAATTTAGTACCCAATAAGAACCCAATGTACCAAATTTCGGTTGAAAAACCCGCGTAAAACCCCTAAATACCGAAATTTGGGGAGTACCCTTATATGATAGCTATGCCTAAACGTGGACCTATATAGCTCATCATCGTACATGAGCTGCCTGCAGACAAAAGACAACTAAATGCAAACTTTTGGCGATCTATCTCGTTTCGATTAGAGTCTAGAGTGATTACAACAGACAGGACATTTATAGAATTTTACGCTTATCAAAAATATATATTTACTAGCGGGTCCGGCAAACGTTGTCTTGCCTGGCAATATTTACACCCTCCAAATAAGGTGGAATGTACAGATCTTTCTAATGCCTTGGTATTTATCAGAGCACATTTATCAGAGGATAATGAGATTATTTTGCAAAGAAAATATTCTCGTTTATTAGTTTTCTCCGTGATACACATTTTCGGCATCGAATATATGCGAGATGTTGTGTTTATAAACTCATAGATATTGACCAACGATTATGTATATAACCACCATATAATTATACCACCTGATTTGATATTTTCCGCGGCGTAGCAACATTTTATGTACTTTAAGGAACAACGTGGTCCTATGGAACTATTATTATTATTTTCAAAAAAATAATCTAGGTCGTAGATGTTAGAATCACAACTCAATTCAGAATGCCTTCTGATTTTCATCCTTGCGGATGTCCCAAAATTTACGTGAATTTTATGGACAACATGTACATACAATGATCGCATGTACATTCAATAATATACTTAGCAATTATTTGTTTGTATTCTCAGATAAAATAGTTTCAATCCAATTGAAAAAATAAAATAAATAAAATATTTTGAACATTTTCAATAATTGACAAATGAAGGCTTTATGGAATGATCCACCAGCAATTTTATCCCAAAATATCTCAAAATAACGTCTATCACGTGGTGCAATCAAAATAGCTCGATACTAAATTCGTGGAAATGCAAATATGCTTCATTATATTGGTTTGCAAATTTTTCGCGGTTTTCGAGTTTTTTTTTCACCTTTTAAACCTTTCCTGGAGCTCCACGAACATTTCAAGACTAAGATAAGAAAAATTCGATCAGTCGTTATCGAGTTTTAGCGAGACTAACGAACAGCAATTCATTTTTATACCCTTCACCACTGTGTGGTACAAGGTATTATGTCTTTGTGCATATGTTTGTAACAGGCAAAAATAATCGCGATAGATCCATGGTTCCTTTTGAGAATATGCATAGAATCACTTTCTAAGTCGATTTACGCATGTCCGTCCGTCCATGCATTTTTGTTAACAAAGTACAGGTCGCATTTATGATCCGATTTGGGTGAAATTTAGGACAGGTTACTTAATTGGCACAAGGACGAACCCTATTGAAAAATGGGAAAAATCGGTTCAGATTTAGATATAGCTCCCATATATATATATATATATATATATTCGTCCGATTTAAGGTAAATGGTGCACTAAAGTCTCTGAAAATCATTCGATTTGCACGAAATTTGGCACAGCGTACTGAATTAAGCCTAGAATGATAAGTGTTAAGTTTCGAGAAAATAGGTTCAGATTTAGATATAGCTCCCATATATTTTTTCTTCCGATTTAAGGTAAATGGTGTACCAAAGTCCCTATATATCTTTCGATTTGCCGAATTTTAGCACAGCGTAATGAATTAGGTCTAGAATGATGTGTGTTAAGTTTCCTGAAAATCGGTTCAGATTTATATATAGCTTCCACATATATTTTCGTCCGATTTAAGGTAAATGGTATACCAAAGTCCCTATATATCTTTCGATTTGCACGAAATTTGGCACAGCGTAATGAATTAGGTCTAGAATGATGTGTGTTAAGTTTCGAGAAAATCGGTTCAGATTTATATATAGGTCCCATATATATTTTCGTCCGATTTAATGTAAATGAGGCACCAAAGTCCCCATATATCTTTCGATTTGTACGAAATTTGGCACGCGTAATGAATTAGGTCTAGAATGATGGGTGCTAAGTTTCGTGAAAATCGGTTCAGATTTAGATATAGCTCCCATATATAGTTTCGTCGGATTTAATGTAAATGGTGTACCAAAGTCCCTATATATCTTTCGAGTTGCACGAAATTTGGCAAAGAGTACTGAAGTAGATCCAGAATGATGTGTGCTAAGTTTCGTGAAAATCGGTTCAAATTTAGATTTAGCTCCCATATATAGTTTGTCCGATTTTATGTAAATGTAATGTAATTGTGTTATGTAATTGTTCTCTGTCTGTAATACGCGTATGTTGTCAAAGTTTGATATGTGATTATTAAGTTTACAGTGTTCTGCAAGAGCGGTTTTTTGATTGTTGTTATGGTTCCTTAATTTTATGTCTGATTTGTGTCCGGATAATACTGTTTAAAGTTTGTTTTTCGTGGTACCCACATACATTTTTCCACATTTTTCATCTTTCGATCCATCACATTCAATACGGTATATAACGTTATGTCTATCAGTAATAGGAATTTTACTTTTAGTATTAGTAAATAAGCATTTGAGTGTATTGTTTGTCCTAGTTGCTATCTGCAATTTATCTTTGTCATATAGACCAGAGTTTTGGAATCTTTCAGATATTCCCGGAATATAAATCATTGATTTGTAATGTTTTTCTGTTTTCTCCTTTGTCTTTGTCATGCTATAATTGGTTAATAAACTTTCTATTATTCCTTTTGGGAAACAGTTTTTTTTGGTCAGTATTTTTCGTATTTTATTCTTTTCATGGAACTTATTGTCGCTGATAATTAATATTCTGTTTATAAGATTTCTTCCTGTGTTAATAACACTGTGCAGCACTAAAATCTTGAACCAATCGAGACCCCCAAAATCTTGAAGCTTGTGATGGTGGAAGAAAATCCCTAGCTGGGTTTTGCATTATTAGCTAAGGTTTTCTTTTAAATTAATTTTTTAAATATTCGACTGGAGGTGGATTTTAACAATTTTCGAATAATACGTACTTATTATTGAGTCTGTATTTCGTGAACTATTCGAAATATTGCTTTTCTCTTTTAAGCAATATTCTTCCTCTTAATTAGAACTAAAAATTTGTTCTTGAGATAAAATCAATAAAACATCACCATCATACTGAAAATAGCACAACTGCAAAAAAAATTAAAATTTCGACATACTTTTTCCATGTTTTTTCACACTTATTTCAGAAACTGCTACTGACTCGACCAAACAATATATGACAAGAAGATAGCCAATAGCAAATCAAACAATTCTTTTTAAAACCCCGATATCATTGGTTGACTCCTTCACATAGTTATAGCCTCACAAATTCATCAAAATGAACCAAAAAAAATCACTCCCAATTGTATGTTTATAGAAATAAAAATTGCTATGCTTTTTCAATAAATAGGTACAAAATTAAAGTAAAAATTAAAATGTTTGGGCCCTTTGGTTTTTTTCGAAGACATGTCGTCCGTCTGTCTGTCTGTCCATGTTAAATTGTAAACAAAGTACAGGTCGCATTTATGATCCCAATTGGATGAAATTTGGCACATCTAGTCTATTTGGCGCAAGGACGAACCCTATTGAAATTTGGAAAACACGGTTTCGATTTAGACATAGCTACCATATATATTTTCGTCCGATTTCATGTAAATGGTGTACCAAAGTCCCTATATATCTTCCGATTTGCACCGATTTGCCACAGCGTACTATGTGAAGGAGTCAACCAATGATATCGGGGTTTTAAGAAGAGTTGTTTGATTTGCTATTGGCTATCTTCTGGATGAAATTTGGCACAGCTAGTCTATTTGGCGCAAGGACGAACCCTATTGAAATTTGGAAAACACGGTTCCGATTTAGACATAGCTACCATATATATTTTCGTCCGATTTCATGTAAATGGTGTACCAAAGTCCCTATATATCTTCCGATTTGCACCGATTTGCCACAGCGTACTATGTGAAGGAGTCAACCAATGATATCGGGGTTTTAAGAAGAGTTGTTTGATTTGCTATTGGCTATCTTCTTGTCATATATTGTTTGGTCGAGTCAGTAGCAGTTTCTGAAATAAGTGTGAAAAAAACATGGAAAAAGTATGTCGAGTTTAAATTT